GGGAGAGAGTATGCTACTTGAGATTTCAAGACTTATTATACAAAGCTTTAAGGATGGAGACACTGTGGTGAAAGAACCAAGAAATAGACCTGCTATATATATATATATATATATATATATATATATATATGCAATTTTTAAAAAGATTTATGGATTTATTTAAGAGAGAAAGAGATAGCATACACAAGAGGAGGGGGAGAGAAGGCAAGGGAGAGTCAGAAGCTCAAGTAGCCTGGGGTTTGATCACAAAGCTTGAGATCATGACCCTAAGATCATGACCTGAGCTAAAACCAAGAGTCAGATGCTCAGCTGACTGAGCCACCCAGGCACCCTGGGACCTGCCATATATTGAAATCTTACATATGACTAAGCCAGCAAAGCAAATCCCTGAGGAAAGGATAGGTGTACAATTAACAGTGCTGAGTCAATTGGTCATCCATGTAGAAAACAATGCAGTTTCTCCAATTTGTACTTTACAAAGAGCCAATGGCAAATGGGCTATGGACTGAAATGAAAACAACAAGATTTTTAAGCTTTTTGAAGAACATTTAAGAGTATTTCTTTATGATGTCAGGATAGGGAAAGGTATCTTTTTTTTTTTTTTTTTTTAATTTTATGATACTCACAGAGAGAGAGAGAGGCAGAGACACAGGCAGAGGGAGAAGCGGGCTCCATGCGCCAGGAGCCCGACGTGGGATTCGATCCCGGGTCTCCAGGATCGCGCCCTGGGCCAAAGGCAGGCACCAAACCGCTGCGCCACCCAGGGATCCCGGGAAAGGTATCTTAAACATGATTCAAAAGCACAGAGTGTGAATGAAAAGCCTGATACATTCTATCATATTAAAGTAAAAAAACCTTTGTTTCCAAAAGATTACATCAAGAAAATGAAGAGAGAAGTCATAAACTGCGACAGGGTATGTGCAGCATATATCACCAACAAAGAATTAATATCTTTGGAATCGATAAGAAAAAGACAAAACCATGGACAACGGATACGACCAGTCATTCCACAGAAGGGACGAATACAAAAAGACCATAAACGTGTACAAACATGCTCAGCACCTTTAGTTATCAGAAAAATAGCAAGTTTGATCCAAAGTCAGGTATGACTTCACGCACACCATTTTTACAAAAAATTAAAAGTGGGTCGCAGAATGGCAAAAATTAAGTGCCACAGCACCAACTGTCGGTAAAGATCAAGAGAAACTGAAACTCATACCCTGCAGGAGACGCTGTAAGCTGTTTCCCAACATGAACATAGCATTTCCTGATCAAGATAAATATGTGTATGCTGTATCCCACAGGCTTCTAGTATATTCTCTAGAGAAACCCTGACACAAGTGCTTCAGGAGAGATATACAAACATGTTCAGTGCACTATTGTTTGTGACAGTGAAAATAGAAAAGCTCCACATACACTTCAAGGTAGAATGGAGAAAGAAATACATATATATATTTATATATTTGCTTAGGAATGTGTGTGCATGTGTGTGTGTATATATATAATATATATTATATATATTATATATATTATATATATATAAACTATAAAGAAAAATTAAAAAAATAACATGAAATTCCAGATGGCATTTGGTGGCCAGGAGATTGTGGGAAGTGAATACAGTTGCGGACGATCATGCTGGTATTTCAAAGTCACTGGTACTATCCTATATCTTAAAGTGTGTACACACCAGGGAGTTTATTTTGTGTTCTTTACACTGAGTTAGGAGTCTAGTGTTTGAATCCCTGCTCCACTACTTTTTAGGTGAGTGAAGCACCAAAATTTCCTGAGCTTTTCATTTCTTCATTTGGAAAAATGGAGGAGTGATAAAGAACCCTTCCTTATGGGTTCACGGGAAGCTTAGCGGAGATGATAACCTGTAATGTTGAACACCAGTGTGTCAGCGGTTGTCATCAATATTATTACCCCGTGGTCTAGCTTGACCTCAGTGTGCATACAAATCAACCTGAAGGGCTTGTTGAAATGCAGATTCTGATTCAGTGAGTCTGGGGTGGGGCCTGAGAGTTTGCATTTCTGTCAAGTTCCCAGGTGAAACTCTGTGGTGTGAGTAGAAGGATCCAGGCAATTCCTCTACTCCTATTGTTCCCACATTGACTCCCTCCTTTTGCTACCTTCCTGGTCCTCTTTCTTCTGCTCTCTCCTCTTCTCTTAGTCTTCCTGTCCTCCACCTATTCTCCTGTCTCCATCCCAACCTATCAAAATCCTACTCACTCTTAAAACCCCAAATTGAATTGGTTGTACATTAAAATTGCCTGAGGAGCTTTTAAAAACTTGTGAAGTCCCAGGCTACACTTCAGACCAACTGAATCAGAACTTCTGGAGGCTGAACTCAGTCCTCCTCTTTTTTAAAGCTGTCCAGGTGATTTCCTTTGGAAGACCAGGGCGAGAACTCCTGCCCTACAGCCTCAACTGAGTAGCTCCTGATCTCCCCAGATATGATGGGGTAACTCAGCAAGACAGTTCTCTTGTGACATCTGGCATCTTGCTGTTTTATTTAGTTACACAGGTCCTTGTCCTACTCTGCTTCATCAAATGAAAGTTCCTTAAGAGTGGAGATGTGTCTTAGTAACATTTAAAGCTCGTGAAATTCATAAGGGAGCATTTTGAATGATATTTCAAAAACATTTCTTGTATTGGGTTGTGTACTAGTATGAGTTTCAAGCATGAGATGGAACATAGTAATATCACTGATAAATATTTAAAAAGTAATTTTCTTGCTTCCATGTTATTTTTAATTTCAGTTGATAGTAATTTCCAGTATAAACTAATATTTTCAAAAAGTGTACACATCTCTGGGATTACTTACAACCATAAAAATAATTTCCAATATAAGATATCAATTCTGCAATTACGGAGTATAATGAAAACATTGTAGGTCTCCTGAGGCACTGAAAATAAATGCTCTGTTTTAAGGAATGTCCTAATGTTTGTGCTATTGCAGAGATTGCCAGTCTAGAGAAACAGGATTTTATTGTTGAATATTAGCTTCAATAGGTGGATTATATTGTTTAAAATTGTGAAATAAAATATATCAGACCTTTAAATTTAAAGATAACACATGAAGTTTTATACAATTTTCATCAAGTAACCAAACCTATGTTTCTGCCTAAAGAAACTTTTGTTTCTTATTTGGAATCTAATTTAATCTTTCCATAATTTTCATTTACACATCTTAAAGGTGAACCAAAAGGACACATGAATCCAGTTTTTCATCACTGCTGCTGCACATGTACACACTCCATGCACTGTGTGCCTGCCCATGCATACAACCAGTCATTAGTCAAGCATACTGGAAATACTAAAAAATGGTTCTGATTTTTAAGATTTGTGTTTGTACGTGCATACACATTCACAAACACGCTTGACATTACATATTTTTTCCTGAGGATCCAGACACAGTGCGGGAATGTCATAGGTTCCTTGATTAAACAGGGAAGCTACATATAAACAACTTAAGAGACAAAGTGTGGTTGAGGCCAGTCTGGGGATAAAATTGGAAAATCCCTGGATTCTTGGTCCTGTGTCCAGCTGGGCAATTGTTGGGTAACAGGAGGATTAAGCTAAGAAAGAGGCATTCATAAGGAAAGCACAAATGAGAAATTCTGTTAGCTTATCTCTAGAAACTACAAAATTCTGTATTTTGAGCCATCATTTGCATGTGTCCCTTCACGTATAGTGGATTAAATAATGTTTGTGAGAGTCTCTAGCAGTAGTAAAGGAGGGGGAAGCAGAGAAGAAGAAAAGAAAAGTGAGGTAGGAGGAAAGATGGAGAGAGAAATAGAAGTGAGAGAAGAAGAGAGAGCAATAAGCAAAGCACCAGGGCATCCAAAAATAACACCTTAGATTTATCGAACACTTGAGTGCCCAATCATTGTTCTAAGTACGCTATTTCTATAAACTCATTTAATCCGTACAACATATTACACATAAAAGAAAACCAAGGCACTGAGAGACTAAGTGATTTTCCCTAGGTTGCCCAGCTAGTAAATAAGGAAACTGGATTTGAATCCAGGTAGTTTAGATCTACCACATGCTATCAAGATGACACTCGATGATATTCATGCTGTAAATCGCTGTTCTCATGGAGAAGGCAAGCTCCGTACTGCCAAAGATCTTAGCATTTTTTTCAGTACTGAATCTCTAGCTTCCATTTATAAGTGAATATGAGCTAGTGAATATTTATTAAGTCCTTACTATGTGCCTGACACTGGTCTAAGTGCTGGAGATCCAGCAGGGAACATCCCACATCCACTCAAGAAGCTTATATTCTAGGGGAATGGAATCGAGATGTAGAAAATACATGAGGACAATTATTGCTGAAAATAAAATAGGAGATAAAAATGGACTTTCCTCCTGTCATATAGGTTTTTTTTTTTCTTTTAATACTAGTAAACTAACACTATCTGTCTAATGCAGACAGGAAACTTCAGATACCAAGGAAAGACAGCCGTGGTTAAGGAAGTTAGGACTTCAAGAAATACAGATAGCAAAAATTGTAACATTTGACAGGAAGGACAATGAAACATGAAAAAAACACTGGACTAGCCACAGAGAAAAATGCATGTATAAATTACACAGTTGTCTGAATACAGGTGAACTACACAGCTCGGGCATTCTAGAACTTGTGAATGCCCTGCTATTGACACCCTACAATGTTACACTGCCTTCGAAACACCAAGTTCCAATGAACCTTTATTTAATAGTACATGGTAATACAATAATTCTGGAAAGGAATTCCGCACCTGGATTTTGGCTGCTAACCAATCTTGAAATCAAACTGCCAAATAGGGCTTAGCGTACTGGCAAATCTTGAAGTCCTTTTTCACCAGTGCTCAGGTTAATGGTTAAGGGTTGGTATTTAAAGTATACCACAGTTTTTAGTTAATAATACATCGTCCCATGTGGTCTGAAGGATCTGCCAAAACAAGTAATGGCCAACTAGAGCAATGTCTCATTTGGGGTTAGATGGTGCTCTGGACAAAATGAGCCTGGTGATCTGTTTCCAATAGACAGGAGTCGTTCATTTCAATTGGAGAACTATATCCAACTGGAATGCTTGCATCTCATCAATGGTTTTAAATCTCTTGTTCCATTTAGAATCCTTTCTATTTTACAGTTGTTTCTCACTGGTGCCTGTAGTAACATCAGGTATTTCTCAGTTTTGAGAATGAACTATTTGTTTCTTTAAACACAGGACCCCACACCTTGGATTTCACAGCCTATTGAAATCAAGGTCAACTGGAAACTAATACTCTGCTTCCATTCTTCTTTTTGTGCCTTCAGATTTCAACTGAGAGGACAGCCCCAACTACAATGTGAGTCTGCGATGTGACTATTTGCTTTCCAACCTAAAATATGTTGGGTTTTCTTCCTTCCTTCCTTTCTCTTTCTTTTCTTTCCTTTTCCTTACTTCATTCTTTCTTTTATCTTATTTTTGATTCTGCTTTCTGATCCTACTCAACTATGTTGCTCCTATTATACTACTGTTAACATTTTACCAACAAGGAAATTTTTTTTTTATTTCTTCTCAGCGGAAATGTTTCATGTCTTAAAACTATTCATGACCTTGTAAATAGGAAGTTTTTTTTCCACAGAAAATATTCCCTTGGTCTTTACACAGATACTAAGTCAAATTTATTCAACTTTTATTCTCTTAGTTCCTTCTTCTATTTTCTTAAGATTTATTTATTTTAGAGATAGAGAGAGTGTATGAGCAGGGGGAGGGGCAGAGGGAGAGGATGAATCTCAAGCAGACTCCCTGGTGAGCATGGAGCCCAATGCAGGACATAATCCCAAAAGAAAGAACCAAGAGAGGGGTACCTGGGTGACTCAGTTGGGCTATTTAGCTCTAGGATACAGATTGATCAAGGTAACATTTCAAATCAACTTTAAAAAATGCGTTTGTTCAAGCAACACCATTTTGAAAAACAAGTAGGACGTTTCATGATTTTGACATTACAATTAAATGTGAAACATACAATTCCTAACCTAAGTTTAAGTAAATGTAAGGGGAAAATTCTTTACATTTCCTGCAAGGTTGAAAATTTCCATAATAGAATTTTAGAAAAAAAAATGCAAAAAAAAAAAAAAAAACCCAAGTGAAAAATAAGCAGACATGCTACTTTTGCAGTAGGAAACTGAAGCCATAGCCATGACTGTGAATGGACATCATGCAGCTGATGATAGAGACAAGTTTACAAGTGCAACACACAGAGAAATAAGATGTTCTTTTAGTTTTCTTAGAGAACACTGCTTTTGGGGTGTGCACGGGTTTCTAGAACTAACAATCTAGACCATATGACATTTTAGCTCTATTTGTGTTGCTGAAAGAGATCAGAATATGCCATTTCCAAATAACCCACTTTGGTAGAAGGGTTATTTTGAGGTGAAGGCAACTGAGAACAAAAGAGATAGAGGGTATAGGATGTGTTCTCTGCCCTCCCTTGACCTGCCTCAAAGCAACCTATGTATTTCCTTTATAAAGGTCTTCTCCCCAACTCCATACCATGAAGAGGAGAACCCTTAACCACCAGCGACAGAGACAGTATTGAGGTGAGTCTGCATAAATAACCTTTAATGAGTAACTCTTGCCTACCATTAGCTTCCCACACATTAAAGACAAGAAAAAAAACAGCTCCTGCTTAAAATTACACATGCATATATACACTAGGTAAAGATAGAAAATTGTGTCTGCTCTTTCTCTTCCCATGACTATCCAAATCACAAAAAGAAATGTCTTAAGATGGTAGGGTGAGAGGACTGAGTCCACAGTCGGGCTCTGCCAGCATTTATCCATGTGCTTCTGGAAAAGGCTTCACTCCTCTTGATCTTCGGCCTCCTTACACTGGTCTAAGCCACCTCTACTATCACCTTCTACTTCCAGCATTCTATGACGAGGTCACACTCTGCTATGCCTATAGAATAGGGTGCCTGGAAGGCTGTGCATAAAGATGAGAAGTAATTTATTAATTAATATATAATACGTAAGACAAGCACTCACTTCGGGGTGCCTGGGTGGCTCAGTTGGTTAAGCAGCTGTCTTCAGCTCAGGTCATGATCCCAGAGTCCTGGGATCCAGCCTCGCATCAGGTTCCCTGCTCAGCAGGAAGTCTGCTTCTCCCTCTCCTTCTGCTCCTCCCTGCCCCACTCACCTATGCTCTCTCTCTCAAATAAATAAATAAAATCTTTTTTATTTTATTTTTTATTTTTATTTTTTTATTGGAGTTCAATTTGCCAACATATAGCATAACACCCAGTGTTCATCCCATCAAGTGCCCCCCTCAGTGCCCATCACCCAGTCACCCCCAACCCCCGCCCAAATAAATAAAATCTTAAAAAAAAACCCAAAAATGTAAGTACTTGTTTCAATTTATCTATTCTAAAAATCATTGAGGGCATGATCCATCTTTCATACTAGTTTTTTTTTTTTTTTTTTTTTTTTTACATTTTTATGTGCTTAAGAAATACCCAGGGAACAAGGCAAAAGTACAAGGCCTTCTGAACTTCTGCTCCCTACAGCTAGTCCTCATTCTGATTCAGTGAATCTGGGCTGGGCCCAGGAATTTGCATATTTAAGTTCCCCCAGGTGATTCTGATGCCAGGGATTGTTTTCCTGGGTTGTGGGCAACAATTCAGGAACACTGAAGCGGAGGATTAAGCCTGACCCTGAGCCATTTCTCCAGCTGAGTACTTTCAGAGACTTTAGGGAAGTTTCAAATCAATCTCTTTGGAATGCTTCAGATTAGACATAAATCCTTTAGATCTGTTTTGATCCAGTCATAGTTGTAGGCTGAACCAAAATGAAATACAACAGGGCATTGATTATCTGGTTATATTTAAATCTCTAAAATACTTGATTTTTTTTCCTCAACTGATGGTGTGCCAGGGGCAGAAATTTCCACAGGCAAAAATTTCCAACTTCTATCAGTGATTGAAACAACACAATGGAGGTGGTGGTGGGCGAGATAGACAAGGAAATTAGTAACTAACCTAATTATAAAAATATTGAGTTTGCAATTTCCAAGGTAAGTCCTCCAGAGGAACATGGAATTTTTCTTGTGATAAACATCTCAAGATGTTTATTTTGAGATGCCCCATTGCCATGCTGACTGGTCTTCACTCACTGGTAATGTGCTTCTCTGTGCTGAGCCTGAATTCTTATTCCTTAACTCATTTTTCTCCACTCTGTTCTTAGCTAAGAGTAAAAACAACTGGTACTCTCCAGTGTGAAACAAACCAACGAATAGAGAAAAAACTTTTATATACAAGGAAAATATTAAAATAGCCCCTCAGTTTAGTTATCTTATTTTTTAATAAGATTTTTATTTATTTATTCATGAGAGCACAGAGAGGGAGGCAGAGACACAAGCAGAGGGAGAAGCAGGTTCCCTGTGGGAGCCCAATGCGGGACTCCATCCCAGGACCCCAGGATCACACCCTGAGCCAAAGGCAGACACTTACCCACTGAGCCACCCAGGTGCCCTTAGTCATTTTATTTTCAAGCGTGGTGAGCACTATTTTGGATCTTCTGTGAACATGCCTACATTTCCAGAGAGCAAAGTCATTTGTCCAAAGTCATAGCCCCCTGGTGGGCCAGCCTGCATGCAATGAACGGGATGATAGGACGAGTGGGGTACTAAGTCCCAAGCCCTTGTTTTGATTCCTTGGATGCAGTAGGATCACCCCAATTCCTATGATTTTCAATTTTCCTTCCAGCCACCCTTCATACTGTCTCTAGAATGTAAATCTATGTTGATTCCCTGCTAAAACCCCTACATTGTCTTCAATATAAAATTGAAATGCTTCTAACATGGAAAAAAAGAGGAGGGGGACTCTCATAAATATGAAATTTCTCTCCTCTTCCTTCTCCACACATCTCTTTCTCCCTCTCCCTCTTCCTCCCAGTAAGAACCTGACCTCAGTTAGGATTCCAGAGCTCTTCTCTCCTAACTTTTAACGTTTACCTCACTATAGCAGTTTTGGAAGTAGTTTGGAAAATTTTCTAATCTATCATTGTGATGGGAATTTTTTTCTTTCTTTTTTTTTTCTTTCTTTCTTTCTTTTTTTTTTTTTTTTTTGTGATGGGAATTTCTTGAGCCCACTCCTCTTCTATCCCCAGCACTAGCACATGGCCTGGAGTTTTTGTAAAGTGAATACATTTTTGAAAGAAGGAAAAGAAACAAAAAGGAAGAAAAAGAAAGAAAGAAAGCAAGAAAGCAATGTTCTTCATAAATGATACATTATATATATATTTCTGTTTTTATAGACTATTTTCCATTTATTTCTTTAAAAAATCTTTAATTGTAGTTGGCATGTAGTATATTACTTTCAGGTGTACAGCATAGTGATTCAACGATTACATCCATTACGAAATGCTCACTGTGATAAGTCTAGTTACCATCTTCACCTTACAAAGGTATTACGATATTACGGACTGTATTTCTGATACTGTACTTTTCTTTCCTATAATTTATTTTATAACTGGAAATTTTTACCTTTTTATCCCTTTCACCTGTTTCACCCATCCTGCCACCTGCCCTCCTCATTGGCAATAACCAATTCTCCGTATTTATGTCTGTTTCTGTTTGTTTTGTTTTTAAATTCCACACATAAGTGAAATCATATGGTATTTGCCTTTCTCTGTTTGACTTATTTCACTTAGCATAATCCCCTGTAGGTCCAATGATACACTATAGTTAAATTTTTAGACAAGCATTGTGATAATTTTTAAAAAAACAACGTTTGAGGTTAAATACCTACTTCTAATCAGACTGATGGCCATTCACAAATCCAAGTTTGCTTGATTAAACCTTGATTCAGGAAACAAACATCTCAGTTCCAGACTTCGGTTTCAATGCCATCAGGGGTTATAAAATAAAGATAGCTGCCCCCACTATCACTTACAGAAGATGACCCACATAGATAGCTAAGAACTGAATCAAATCTATTCTGACCAAGAGAAAAATGCAAAAATCTTTAGAAAGACAAGTCAACAAGCTGGGTCTCAGTAACACACAGGTAAGAGGGAAACAGGTGCTATTCTTTCTTTCTTTCTTTCTTTCTTTCTTTCTTTCTTTCTTTCTTCTTTCTCTTTCTTCTTTCTTTATATTTTTCTTTCTTTCTTTCGAAAAAGGAGCTATTTCCAAGATATTTGGCATTTTGACAGTTCTTCACCTGGGCATAAAAATTACTTCCTATTTACAAAGTACATGGAGAAGACAATATAATGGAGTGGTCACACCCAGGGTTCTAGAGCCAGAATGCCAGGCTAACAGGCCAGCTTTACCATTCACCACTCTCATGACTTCACCTGTCTCTGTCGTTTCCTCATTAGTAAAATAGAATAATTGTAACCTCCCTCATGGGAGTATAGGGACATTCTATGAACACATATGGAATGCTTACCGCCATGCCTGGCATACAGTAGGTAGGCGTAATACGTGTTAGCTATTATAATGATCCACTTACACTACTCTTCCAGGTTGTGTGTGTGTGTGTGTGTGTGTGAGAGAGAGAGAGAGAGAGAGAGAGAGAGAGAGAGAGAAATGAAGAAGTGACTGAAAGTTTTTCAAATGCTTTCTAGTACCTATAGGGAAAAGTTGTTTTTCTTTTTTGACCTATAAGCATGGTCAATTTATTTTTCTCTAAAGGCTTTATTTATTTATTTATTTGAGAGAGAGAGAGAGAGAGAGAGAGAGATCATGAGCAGGGAAGAGAGACAAGCACACTCCCTGCTGAGCAGGGAGCCCGTTGTGGGACTTGATCCCAGGACCCCTGATCATGACCTGGGCTGAAGGCAGACACTTAACCAATTGAGCCACCTGGGTGCCCCTAAACATAGTCAATCTACAAAGAAAAGTATTAAATAACTTTTCATTTCTGTAATGGTAGGACTTGTTCTTGGCGTTTTATTATTTTTTAAATACACTGTACTGTTTTTATTTTATTACTTCATTTTATTTTGCCAATGTTTTATTCAGGATATTTTCATCAGGGCACTTACAGGATTAATACTCCTGTTATTTTTTTCTGCGATATCTTGCTCAAGTTTTGAATTGATTCATGGTGATTTGTAAAACAACAAAAATGGAAACAAGTTAGGACATCGGTTTTGCTTTCTGTCCTGGAACCATTTAATAGCAAAGCTTAACTATTTCTTGAAATGGAGAAAAATTACACTTGTGACAACTTTGAGGTAAGAGTTTCCTTAGAGGATAATTATTAGAGAAACTTATTATTTCTTCCAAGATTATTGGCTTATTCTATTAACTCTCTTAATCATTCTTTTAATAATTCTAATAACTCTCTTATAAAATTCTCTTAATTTTGATAATATATATTCAAATTGAAAAATCACTCCAGATCACCTGTTTCAAATCAGCATAGAACATTCAAACTATTTTTACTTTCACTTGTGTGTGTCGTTATTTCCACATTCTCATTTTGTATATCAATAATGTTTCTGTTTTTTTATTAGATGAGCTCACATTTTTCTACTTCAACATTTGCCAAAGACCTATCTACTGTATTTATGAATTTACAGTTTTTTCTATTTTCATGGACACTTTTATGTTTTTAGCTGTTTTTTCCCCCTTCTGACTTAATTCTGCATATTTGCATTTTTAAAGAAACTTTTTGAGTTGATGGCTTACTACACTTGTCTTCTTTATTTTGTTAAGAATGTGATTTACAGCTCTGGTCTGTAACTCCTGGACCTCCTTCCAGCATGCTCCCTGTCCTGGGAGGCTGACTATGAGGTCTACAGCCCAGGTTCCACCAGAAGGGGTTCCTGAGATGTCAGGTGTTGGGACAGATATGGAGGGAGGGGGAGGTGGATGAGGTCAGGGTCTTCATCGTCCTGGCTCCCTTACTGCCGGGTTGCCTTGAGCTCCTGGGTCAGTATCTGTATTTCCTGCACCCCTCCATTTAGTGGCCAGCTCAGTACCTCTGTATTCCTGAGTTCCAGGAAAGGAAGCAGAGGTGGAAATAGTTTGGCTGCATACTATCTCTGATAGTTTTCCTGGACCTCACTTTTGTAAACAGTCTATGAATAAATAAACTCTGCTCAAATTATCTGTTTTTGAATGTGCCCCATGTATCTTGTTGGGATACCGACTGACACAAATAGCTATTCATTGTCCTCAAAGGACATTTGGATACATCCTATAGGATTTTTTTCCTCATCCTATTATTGAAATTTATTTAACTGTCATGCCATTATGATCTTGACTTCCTTCTTAAGCTAAGAGTCATTTAGAAGAAAGATTCAAAATATACAAGTAGGCTTTTTGTTGATGTTTGTGTATAATTTTATTGCATGGTGAGCAGATTTTGATTATTTGTAGAGTTTGTGGGATTCCATCAGCTTTTCTTTGTCATAAATTATGGTCTATTTTTATAATTTTTTTATGAGCACTGGAAAAGATGTATTTTTGTATTCAGGAGATAGTTTGCATATCAGGTTAATAATTAATTGCATTATTCAGGCCCTCTAAACCAGTGTAATTTAAAGCATGGGTCAAAGCAGTTTCTTAACCTGCTCATAATTAAATAAATACAGAACTTGACAGTAATGATTTAGAAAGTTTGGAGTAATTTGACAGAGCTAAATATGCCGGTTGAATCTAAAACAAAATGTTTGGGCTTATATTTAATATCTTTCTTATTCTACTTTCTTATAATTCATTTTCATCATATTTTATAATAGCAGTGGTCCAAGATAAGATGGAAAGTAAACCACAAAGCAAAACTGTTCTTATAGTTTTAGCTATATAAATAGCTAAAAAGGTTATAGGAAGGTTAAGCAACATTGCTCTAAACTCTTCCTTATTGTGGTCAACTTGATTTATCAGAGATCCTTTACTCACTCTTCACTCTCACCCACAGAGAGGACACATCTGCCTCCTCTTCTTCCAGGCCACTTCAATCCCTGACCCTTCCATACACACACACAGAGCTAAGTCCCAGAAAAAGGGACACTTTCAGAGATTGAGGGTTTGGGTCACAGAAGAGGACCGTCACGCAGTCTCTCTCCAGCGACAACTACTGCTAGTTTTGAAAGCTTCACAATTCTGATATCCACTCCAAGACAAGAGAAGTACATTCATATCTGCTACATCATTTCATCCCCACAATAAGCGGAGATATATGTAGCAAGAAGGGATGAAAAAAATTCAAATCTGGTGTTGGTGTTTATCCTTACTCCCTTGTTAGGTTCCGGAGAAAATGAAATGAGCAAGTCAAATGTGACTAAGTCATTAACCTTTCAGAACAGTACACACACACATGAAGATAGTCAACAAAATGATAGAGGGCAAGATTACAATCAGACACAAACTTAGCCTTCTTTATAATCCCATAACTAGGTTTTGACAAACTCTTCAGGAGGACTTAGGTTGTCAGGACCTGAAATAATGGGAGTCAACACATTTTGCATCTGAATCGTATAATCTAAGTTAGTATTTATACTCTTATGTCTTGCTTTTCATCCTATCACCAAAGAAATTAAAATCAGTATTTGAATTTAGAGCAAACTAATTCTTTCTTCTAAATGGTGTGTTTCAGTGAATGAAGAAATGATACATAGAGAAACTTAAGCAAGTAAAAATTTCCTTCAATGATTTTTTTTTAACTCTCCATGACTCTCATTACCTATTTTTTTAAAAAAGATTTTATTTACTTATTCACAAGAGATACACACACAGAGAGGCAGAGATATAGGCAGAGAGAAGCAGGCCCCATGCTTGGAGCCTGATGTGGGACTTGATTCTGGGACCCTAGGATCACGCCCTGGGCCAAAGGCAGACGCTCAACCACTGAGCCACCCAGGCATCCCTCATTACCCAGTTTTTGATAAGGGCACTGCCCTAGAAGAAATGATCAAACTTATTCCAATGTCTTTGTGCCTTGTAGGAGCATTAGCATTATTCTAGGTTCTTACTATTCCTAGTGTTTCAGAAATGAAAAAATCTTTATTTTTAGCCTTTCCAATTACCAAAATAAGAAAGTGGTTTCCATTGAAAGTTATGTGAGATTTCACAGTCAATTTCTATTAGGATTACACAGAAATTTCTTGAAGTTGAAGCCAAGGGTGTAAAATTTTAGCCACATCTGTCTCCAAGATGAGTTATTAGGCCGACTTTGAAATCTGATAACTGTGTTTTGCTGAGTCACTGTAATCTATTGCAGCCCGTTGGCACACTTTGCTTTTGAATCCTTGATATGGGCCTGGCCACCAGGGTGCTCCATAAATGCTTCTTGGATAGAACCATTCAACACTTATTATAGTGCTGATGCAGAGTGATTTTATGGACTGTTTTTCAAAACACTTTCATAAAACTGACAGTATCTCCTGCTTTCTCACTTTTTTTTCCATAACAAAGTCCAAAAATGGGTCTTTTGTATATATCATGAATCTTAAACATTCACATCTCTTGACATAGCATGTCCACTTCTAAGGAACTTATACAGAAGCAGAATCGTAAATCAGAAGCAGAATGCCATATACGAATATGATTATAGCAGCATCATTTGCAGTAATAAAAAATGTGAAATATCCTGAGTGTCCACTAAGAAAGAAGCAGCCAAGGAAGACTGAACGTTAAAACATGTTCTCAAGACCACATACTATTATTTAAAGAGTCTATTTTTATAAGAAAAAAAAGACCACAGACTCATATACACAATATCCTTACATATATTTTTAAAATATCCTACATATAATGAAAATGCTAGTGGAAAATAGTAAAAACATTAATGATATTGTCTGAAAGCAGAGAAACTATGATTGACTTTTTCCTTTCAAATTTTCAGAATTTAGCACATTTTCTTTCATTAAGCACACATTACTTTTTTAATTGAAAATCATCACACTTTTTATTTTTAGTTAACCAGGGAGGATGGGAGAGAAGGATTTTTTAGTAGAGAGAACAGTCCATGCTGGACGGAGGGCCAGAAAGAGGGCCAATGTGCCTGGATGCAGAGAGATAGAGGAAGAGGAAGGAGAACGGAGTTAAGGAGGTGGATAGGGCAGCAGCAAGGGAGAAGCATTGAGTATGCTTTTAGCTTTACAGGGACTTGCATGCATCTTGTAGTAAAAGATGAAAATTTATTCCAAAATGTCCTGGTTTGGTGAATATTTCAACTCATTTACAACAGTGAACATCAGTTAAGATGCAAAGAAAAATTTACTGAATGTAATGGATACTTGGTTTCTTTCTGCTCTTCTTGTCATTCCTTCCTGGTTGGCTTTTCTTCACCTTCCAGGTCTCAGTATGGATATCACTTTCTTGGGGAGGCCTTCTCTGTGCTTCTCTATGTGCCTCTCTGGCAAGTGTTCTCTACCACCACCTTGCCTATTGTATGACACTGCAACTCCCAGCTCTTACTAGACTGGAAGCTCTGAGAAGCCAGGCCCACCTGCCTCACTCTCAGGCCCCCACCTGTCACACAGCCCCTGGCCCACAATAAAAGTTCTCTAAATACTTGTTGAATAAATTAATTAGAAAAATATTCATATAGTAAACCCAATGCATTATACCATATGTATACATATCGATGCAAAAAACTATATTGCGCATACACATATATGTATCTAATCCTGAAAGTTGTTATTATTTTTTTGGTATTGTAGCACACTAAGTGAAAAAGGTTCCGGTTTGAAAGAAGTTATAAACATTTCATTTGGGTTTTCATTTCATGAATTGCAGAACCTGTGCCAATTTTCTAAGCAAACTGGTGTAACTCTGTTACGTGAGATGGTGTGGGGGAGAGGGCTTTAAAAATAGCCGACCGGATATCCCTCTTGGTGGCTTGGGTTATGTAAAAGTATTTTGTGTTAAGCCAATGTCTCACAATGGATCGCTGAGCTTTGAAAAGGCTATTTGGGATCCTTTTTTTTCTGAGTTAAATATCTGCTTATGAACAGAATTGGACTGAAAATCTCCTAGATAAAGGGTACCATGTCCAAAGAGTTCTCACTTTTTAACTCCAGGTACTAAAAAAATTCCCATGTTAGTCCTGACAGTGATTTAAGAAAAATAAATAAAGTAACCACTCAGTGAGAAAGGAGCCAGGATTCCTATAAAGAAAAGTTGCTAGATTTGGGCTTAAAATACTTCTCTATTAGAGCAGAACAATCAGATAACCTCTGGCTTTGTTAAATATTTACTTTAGTTTTTAAAAAGAAGTAATTTGGGGACACTGTTCTCATTAAGACCCCATGAAAGTAAAATGATAGGGATTGTTGTTTGAGAGTTTACTATGGACTGAATCCTTGGGCACAGCTGAGTCTATTGTCCTGTGCTATGCCCTGACCCCAAAGCTATATCCAGGCAAAGATGGTATGATTAGCTGGACCATTAAGATTCTCTCTGGAGTGGGGAATTGGGTACTTGGTAGTGGGAGGGGAACCCAGACCAACAGAGAGAAGACAGAGGGGAGCCACCCTGGTAGAAGATGTGAATGACAGAAACCATGAGAGAGGACACACACAGGGTAGAGGAGGAGGTGGTTGGTTAGCTGGGGCAGGAATGACAGAAACAGAAATGGGCTATGGAGTTGCTATAATTCCTGCTGTTGAAGGGACAATGAGATAACCTGGTCACTAAACTTGCATATTCCTACAGTAACTTCAACTTTCTATGAGACCTGCCTCAAGATTTAGATTCCTATTTCTCTTATTGATAGGTGAGTATACCTACAAAAAAACTTGTTTCTTGAGACATCAGGAGAATCTCTGTTCCCTGGGGCACGTGGGTGGCTCTGTGGTTGAACATCTGCCTTTGGTTCAGGTCATGATCCCGGGGTCCTGGGATGGAGTCCCGCATCGGGCTCCCTGCAGGGAGCTGTTGTACACAGCAGTTCCCTGCTGCCATATTTTCTCCTTGGCATGGCCACACCATTCAAAGCCCATTTCTGATGGAACTGGAGGGTATTATGCTGAGTGAAGTAAGTCAATCGGAGAAGGACAAACATTATATGTTCTCATTCATTTGGGGAATATAAATAATAGTGAAAGGGAATATAAGGGAAGGGAGAAGAAATGTGTGGGAAATA